AGATATACCAGCTGGAGATCTCTCTTATGCTAAAAAGTTTATAGCCTTTCTGTCAAACAAAAAGGACAATCAGTAGGTGAAAATTAACTTCCAATCTACAATACCACAGATCTGAAGTTGTGTGCACCTGTAATGCACAATTATAGCACTCTACCCAAGTAACCATTTCGTTGACAGCTTCTGCTACAGCTTAAAGAGCAGAGATGCAATCTGGGTCACAAAATCTTATTCAAATGTTGAGAGTAAATTACCTAGCTGCATAACACCGCCACCATGCCATCTTCTCTCTCAAGCGGAAGTGTTTTACAGTAAGTAAAGCAGTGAAACCCTCCTTTAAATACATCCCTTAACCTTCTTTAAATTTATTACATTTTAATTAAAGTCATAGGACTTCGTTGAGATAAATCAAAAACCTCAGATTGGCAGCCAGAATATCTTATAAGAACTCAGAGGTCTTGGATTCCCATATTGCGATTATGTTGCTTTAATTTATTTATTTTTCCAATTAAAAAGTTCTTACTGCTCATGCATTTTTTATTCCCTAATGTGCTGTTCTATCAGGAGAAACATAAAAGCAGCAGACAACATGTTTTTTTCAGTTGAAGACTACTTTCTAGCCTGCTCCAGTTTTATAATCTATTCTCTTATGCTCTTACCAACCCCCTCCATCAAACAGCTAAGAGTATCCATCAAAACCACAGGCTGTATTCATAGTAAAAGGCACTCCAGCACATATTTTCACTGGAAAGCATTAATTTTTGCAGTAAAGTGCCTTCCTCCCTTTTACGCCTGCAGACAGAGTTCAAGTAAAGGAATACTGATACTGTCTGAACAGGTGAGTATCTTTGTAGCAATACGGTTGATGAGAAATAAAACAATAAAAATATAAAGCAAGTACCTTTCAGGCTTACCTCGCCAGGTTAATTAGACACAGTGAGAACAATCTGAAATTTATCTTTCTTAAATAAACTGTCAATAAATACATTTTGATACAGTACCTATCACCTCTGAAATTGGAGGGTCTGCACTATTGCCTCGCTCTTAACACTATTAAATGTAACATTTTTCTGTGTTGTTACTGTTGTAGGGGGTTAGCATTGCAGCAGACAGTCAGGTACCACGGGCAGCATTACAGACTCTACAGTTGAAACTAATTCCCAGTGAAGACAAACGCCAGCTCTTGTAGGACTATGAGAGTCTCCTGAGGTTGCAAATCTCTTGACAATGCAGGTGTGAACAGCAGGATCCTTCACCTCTGCTCCCCTAAGAGGTCAAATCTGGGAAGGTGCATGGCAGAGTTTATTTCATTATATATTAACCCTTAGTGCCACAGGTTATTTTAAGGACCCTCTGACAATGACACAGTTGCTCTAGCTCAACATAAAAACTCACTAGAAAGCCCCTGACAATGCCCTTTTCCCTGCAGTAGGGGAGCACAGATCCTACACATAACCAGTATTTTGAAACAAGATTTGTTTGCCACTAGTAGACTCAGCATTGGAGATACAACAAAATTAAGAGCAGTGTACTTAATTGCCATGTTACTTTCAGCACAGGTTTTACTTGTGCATCAGTTGTACATTTATAATTAATGTAGTCTTTTTATTTTTCTAAGCTTTCAGAACCTTACCAGAACATTAAAAGCACATCAGCAAGTACACTCACTGCTTATTATGCCAGTTGTCTGAGACGAATCTGTGGCTAGAGTTTACTGCCAAGGCCCAGCACAAAGGCTCTCCAAGTCAGTGAGAAGAGTCCTGTGATATTCAACAGGTTTTTAGTCTGGACTTTACTGTATCTTCCTGTGTCAGCAGCTCCAAGCCCTAGCATCAAACTCGGCTACAATTCCCACTCCTTGTTCTTGAAGGAGCACCAAAATGAGCAAGTAAAGTGCAGCAGGAGCTGATTTCAAAAGGACATGTACTTGGGCAAATATACCTCCTTTGATACGTATGCCTCCCCCACCATATTACATCTCATTAGAACAGAGGCAATTACACTATTTTAAAGATGACACTTAGAAGCACTAAAGGCTTTTACTAGTGCTCAAGTACTTTTCCCTAACCTATCCAGGTCTGAAAAACAAAGTCAACTTTGAATTGAATCCAAAAGACAATCAAGTACCAAATGTCAAAGCAATTTTACAAATCAGAGTAATGTGGGTGATAAGACTGGGAAGAATAAAAGTAGATTCAACTATCTGTTTAGAAATTAAAAGTTTCATCTCCAATGCTTTCTGATCTACTGCAGTTTTTGGAGGCCAGAAACTAGGTTTGGGTATGAATAGAAATCATGTAGCAAAATTAGGTTGTGGCTGGATATTTTTCACAATGCAAACACTTTCAATGCACTCTCAGATATAGGTTAACTTTAATAACACTGCATTCACAAATCACTCACTGAGAATAGCCTTCCAAATGTATAACATATTATCATAGCCCTAAACAAAACTAGTAATGCATTTATACAAATCCATACATATCTGTAAGGAAGCAGTGTTGCAACCCGCTTAAAGAAATCCAGTAGGAATCTAAGGGATTAGTTTTGTTGGTCAATTTTTTTCCTTTTTGCTTTGTTTTTATTTTTTACAGGGGAAAGAACAGTAAGTAAAAAAGCACAGAACTTAACTAGATAGGCACACTTCAAGCTAAATTCTTGTTCTGATGACACCAAATCTCTGCAGGAGATGAGACAGTTGAATCTAGTGACTGCCATCGTATTCACCCTGTGACTCACCTGCTCAATTAAGTTTGCAGAAGCATCGCTTCTCATTAGGCATCCTGAACTCCGCTGAGAGCCACTGACACCACACAAGGCTAAAATGGTGACATTGCCGTGTAAAGTCTACAGCTCTTACACCACCAGATTCTGTGCATACTTTCAGCTGCAGCTTTCCTAACACTTACATGAGGAAGGCTTAGGATTTTCAGTAGTGCTCAGAAGTACCCCTCACTGGCTTGCTCTTCATTTTCACATCTTTGACATTTATTGTAGTGTCATCAGGAAATGCTAGTGCAAAGATGAACAAGATGTTGACTCCTCTTCTGAGTGCAAAGATGTAGGGGTTAAGTTATAATAAAGGAAACTGTAACACCAACATTCACAAAATTGTCTAATTAACTGAACAGAGATGCTACAGCTGAGTCAGGAACTTAAAGACTTCCTTTTTTTTCCTTTTTTCTCATTTAATCTTCTACTATGATCTGCCCTCAAGTCATGCTTTCAGAACTATCTCCATCACTTTTCCACAGGAGTTGTCATAAAATACCACAAATACACAGCCAAATAGAGGCCTTTAGGTATGGATTTATGCTGGGAGCAGCCTTGAGATGTACCACCTTAAGGGACACTCTTAGGTGGATCAGCCCTGTTTAGAGTGACCTGACAGAAACAGCTATACACATTTGTCACCTCACATGATAGCACAGCTCATTCCGTAATTGTATTTATCTATTGCTGCCTGTTGCTGTAAAGAAAATCAGGTCACAACCATGACTCTGTGCAGCTCTCTCGTCCCTGGACAGACTTCTACACCAGGCAGGCGTTTTGTGTTGTCTTCCTTTCACATTGTGTGCAAGAAGGCAGCCAGCAAAACAATCTACTAAAAAGGGTCTTCCTAAAACAGATTTGCCTTTCATAAAAACAAAAACAACAAAAAAAAAAGAAAAAAAATTCAAGGCAGATAATGAAGAACCTGTCCAAAAAAACAGTATGTCAATAAACAAACAAAAAAGTATACTCTTGTAAGCAAAGAAATAATATCACAGAGAAACAAATAATGGTAAGATAAATAAATCAGATGACTGAAATGAAGACGATCTTTACAAATTGTAGGTTTCATGCCTCAATGAAATTAAAATTGCTGCAAGCATTTAATTGCTTCTAGGGTCCAAATGAAAGGATTCAATAAGCAACCTTCCTTCAGATTAGATTTTTACTGCCAGTGCTTAATGCAGTTGCAGAAAACAGTTGTAACCTTCTTCTCAAAACAGTATCTCATAATTACTTGGGTCAAAACTTAAACTTTTTCAAATGTTCCAATAACCGCATCTCCTATAATACTCGTATAACTTTATTCTGCCTGCCTGAACAAAATGAAGACCTTAGAAAAAAACCACCTGTTACCATCACCCTATTCATTTAAGTGCCACAACTCCAAAATGCATAAGCTGATCCTTTCACTGAAGGCAAAGGATATTTTTATATTAATTTCAGTGCAAGACTTGAAAGTAATGGCTCGTTTTCTTCATTCTTAAAGACTATTTTGAAGGTCCCAATTTCAAGTTTTCTGAGTTTCCTCATCAACCACTAAGTTAGCAAAAGCTGAGGTCTTCAACACATTGTGAGATCAAGTCCCAAGAGAAGAGAGTTTCTAGAGAAGAGACTGTCTAGGTTTGCTGCTTTTTATCCTTTGAAATCCTGACAATCTGCCATCTTGCAGTCTTCACAACTTTTAAAGGAAAAAAAAAAAAGCTATGACAGACAGAATACCCTTCAGAAAATAAAAATCACCAGTTCCAGACATGCAAAAAGAAGCTTCCAGGTTTCTCAGAAGTTTCAAAATGGGGCAGCAGGTGGAAAATCAGTAAAAAGTTCATTGCTTGATTACATAAAATAAAATTAAAATGCCTCTGACACATCTATCTATTCTTCAAGTTTTCAGGTACGCTGAGTGAAGCAGTTCACAACAGAACAGACTGCACACCAATCTATCACACTTAATTGCAATCACAGTCAAACATAACATCAGCCAGTGCCTAAACTACAGAGATGCTTTTAATACTCCCCAGTCAGCAATCAACCTTTTCCACATTTGTTCATAATCACAATGAATTGTTTCATTGTAATGCTTGGTTTTCCTTTTCTTATCCCATGGCAGTTTACCATGCTTTTTAAATTAGATATTTAAAAAAAAAAATTCTCCTTTTCCAATTTTATTCCTGTGTGTAAGTACAGAGCATTTTTTAAAGAAATATAAATTACTGGACATATTTTCTTACCTGTTGCAGTCCACATGGAGCAGAAGGTGTGATGCACTAAGTGACACGGCAATCTTATGCCACTGCCCATCTGCCAGACGGTATGGGAACACCTCTGTTCTTGACTTCCCATTAAACCTGTAGTGATATCTAATCTCATCCCGTAGGCCACTGCTCTCCAGTTCAAAATAGCTGTATTTAAAACATGAAGAAAAATTAGTTCTATTTTTTGGTTTATTCATTGCTTCTGTCACTTTCTTCTTAATTCATATGCTTCTTTAAGCAACCACCACACAGAAGGTCACAATCTAAAGAGGTACACAGCACATATTAGCTACTAGTTCATTTTTTAAAAGAGGCAGAGAGACCAGACTACACATTCAGTGCATTACAAAAGTAGCAATACCAATTATGCAAAAACAGCTCGTGTTCAAAACACCATTTGATAGTCCTGGAAATTGAAGTCCTCTTTTTACCCACAGAACGGGTTCAACTACAAGAAAATGATCCTTATTCTTTTCACAAAAATGCTTTGTATGAACGCAGGATTTGTAGGAAATGCAAAAATAAAGAACTGTACATATGACTACCAATGAATAAACAAAAAGCCATTAAGGTAAGAAACCACCAGGTAATCATTAAATTTGCATTTACTATTTGCAAATCCACTTTTTAAAAAGCTGTCTAACTTTTAGGACTCCCCTACCTGCAATTGTGCTTAATTCATTTTCTGACTTTTATTGTTACAGCTGTAATTGTTCAGCTTTAGGTGTCTCAACACCTGGCATAAACAAACAATCAAACCCTTCAGACAATTGTGTCAGTCATTTGAGAGCTAACAAAGTCCAGCTATTAACTGGCTACATGCCGGTGGGGGGAGACAGTTCTTTTTCTAGGGTGAACTTAGCCCTTCCAGGTGGTACCGCATTGACAGTGCAAACAGCACAGCCTTCTCTTGGACCTCAGACCACACAGAGTGTTTACCACCTATCAAATCAAGGCTCTCTTTCTTCCTGCTAAAATGAAGCCCTGACTATAGAAAGAAAGAGATGCAGACCTCCTTTTATAGTAGAAATAACTCTACAACTAAGTGCAGATGTTAGGTTGTCCAGCTAGGCCCTATCCCCATCTACCTCCACAGCGTCATGTTCTTCCCTACTGGACAACACTAATTGTAACATGGCAGTTGAAAGATGGGTGCTAGTTGGCGGTAAAAAAAAATATTTTGCAGTAATAAAATCCACTTCTAAAAAATAAATGCAACAAAATAATAAATACCTAGGTGCTGATTTTCATTTTCACACAAGCCTTCTACACTGCTTGGCTATATACAGACCTTAATAACCATTGTGCACAAGCGTTACATGAGGTGTGTGCACTTCATCAAGTGCTCTTACCAGTCAAGTGGAGGCTTTTTAGAACATAACTGAAAAACAGAGTTCTTCGGGAGGAACTTACTTATGAGATAAAACACTACCTGGGAACATGAGCAAAAGATCACAACAGACTGGGAAGGGGAACTCCAAAACAATAAATCTTGACCAAAAGAGAAACTCAAGCCCTCCTCCATCCTGTCAATGCATTGCCATTACATTTTTTATGCAACATATGAGCATCATCAGGTCATCCGAATCAAAGACTCCAGTGGTAAAGTAAAAAACATGAGCAGATAAAGGCAAAACCAAAACTGAATGAAAACACAGCAGGCATAGGTACATATAAAATGCATGCAGCACAGAGTGGAAAAAATAAGAAAGGTTGGTGTTGTGAAGGAACTGGCCTGTTTCACGCACATAAAGGCACAAGGAAAGCAGAGAAACAGGAGTTTTCTAGACGTTAGAGCAGAATGTTGATTTACTACTACCACCACCACCCCTCATTAGAATGCGTAAATTACATTTATAAGAAATCTGGAGATTACTTTTTTATTATTTTATTTTGATTCTCAGTAACAGCACGGTCAATATACAGAAGATACTGCTGCTGGTGTTTCCAAGCCAGGAAAGCACTAGGACAAGTACTGTCAGTGAAGTCACGCTTACAAAGTTAAACGTTTCATAATTGCCATCTGCTGTCAAAGCACAAAAGGAAGCCATTAAAGAGACTTTTTTTCTCTCTTCTTCAGATAAACAGCAGAAAGGCAGAAAACTTAAAAAAAAAAAGATCACGCTACTAGCACGTTCCAGTATCTCTCACACACAAAGTACTTGTATAAAAATATATTTTTTTTTTTTTACATGGTTGATCATCAAAGCTTAAGAGCCTGAGAGCAAGACAAGCTCCTGTTGCAGGAAGCACATCACTTCCTGCAGTCATTCTTCATAATCTCTGATAGCCACAGAGCTAATAGCTTGCCATACAATGTTTTGTTTGTTAATAAAAAGGCAACAGTCCAGCTCTGGAAAGGTCAGTCAGATACTGTACTTAATCACATCTATGCTCTATAATTTGAACAGCATAGGGAATTGCAAAGCAACATAGTTTCTCTTCTGACAAGCTTGGGTGTCAATAGTCACTTCAGGACTAAAACCAGCTTGTTGCTCAGGCACTGAGATTGTGGTCAGTCTCCTGACCAATTTAAAAAATATAGAAGTGACTAGTTAAAATTTACTGTACTAGCCAGTGCTAACATTTTTATATATGTACACCTAATGCACTGCTAAATGCCACAGGACTGTATAAAACACCACATTTTACCTCTTCAGTGACAAGAAAGGAGGAAGACAGCAGACAAATTCTGCATCTATTTTTCACCACCCTTCAACAAGCGCAAATCAGAAGCAGTTACACTCAGACATACATCAGTAAACAACAGTCAACAAAATCCCAACAGTGGAAACTGTCTCCATTAGCTCAACATATATCTATCTCAAGTATTTAAAAAATGCAAAGCAATGTAAAACAACACTCTTGCAATAATTTTTTTTTTGAAGATTCACAAATTCACATCAAGATCTTGACTACACACACACTTCACCATGTTCACAATTCAGAAGATATAGCTGTCTTTTCTCTATCAGAATAGAATTCATGTGCAAATAGCTTTCTCAATAGGAAACATCATCTTTTCTTTACTCCTCCTACCAGACTCTAGAGGAAAGCCTCTTCAAAAGCAATGACATAAAGGCTATTCACTCCTGGAAATAAGTGCACCTGCTCTGTGTTCAAGTTCTAATCTGGAAGTTATGGAATGGAAGACAAACAGAGCGGAAAAACATAAGCTTAGGCAAGAAGTCATCAACCTGGGAGAAAATGATTAGTAAAGCCAAAGAAAATATATGTGTGAGGGGGGTTTAATACCTATCTCATCTTGACTTGAAATGCCATTGCACATGTTTTTTTCTCCTATAAACCAACAGGTAAACAACAGGGGGAAATTAACAGAAGTTACCTTACAAGAGGCAAGAAAATGAACTAATCTCTAATAGGTGCGTCTTTTTGTAGGTACTTCCCAGTATTTTGCAAGGAAGAAAAAAACGGAGGAATAGAACAAGTCAGGGTTCCTGAAAGGATTGCAGCATCTGGGACTGGCTGAATAAATGTATCATCAGTAGGCAAGGGTGAGCTTTCAATGTTGCCATGAGATCTGTATCAAAAGCCCAAGAGAGATCCCCAACTATTACAGCCAGTTGTGCTTCTGCATCACATCTGCATGAAGCCTGGCTGGAATGGGTCTAAGATGCCCCTGTGTGTGAACTTGCCACTACAGTTAGCCCCCTGCTACCCTCCTCAAGACCCTTTCCAAGTAAGACAGATGTGAGACAATAATCTACTTGTCAACTTGTTAGTACTAAGTGGTGATTTCTTGTTATTTCTTGATGAAGAATTTTATTTTTTAAAAAAAAACCAGACATGGTCAAAAGTAACATGCATTTTGACAGATGAATTTCTCAGAACACGTGTCTTAAGAAAGCTCTCTGTTTATGGAACAGTAGTACAATATGACCTTGGCTGATATGTCCTTGCTACTAGAATTTCCATATCTGCTAAGCATGTAAGCTACTGCTGGCTTCTTTTATACAATTATAGAATTCAAATGCTTTTTATAGGTCTGTCTGCAGTCTCTCATTCAAATCCCAGTGCGTTAGATGGGGGAAAAGAAAAAAAAAAAAAAAAGGAAAAACTTGTTGCTAAATTCAGATTAATTTTGTGGTCATCAAAAACGTTGGGATATTTTAAGATCATGCGATGTGCTTTACAGAAGGACAATATTATTCCACAATTAACTCAAGATGTTTTACAATTCTGTCTGACAACTTCTGCAACCCCTACGTACCTCACACAAGAATATTGTTATAATCAGATAAAGCCTGACTCAGTGATGTTTAATGCTTGCTTTTTTTTTTTTAATTTTAGTCCCAAACATAGTGAATATTTAACTGTGCATTTGACAGCTCATTTCATTTCCAGATCAGGAGAAAAAGGTGTCTAAAAGTATACTGTAAGTTGGAAACAGCTGCTGTGGATGTAATGACCAAAAAAATTGGCAAAGTCATTATCAACATTAAATAACAGCATATAAGACACCTGAAGCAGAAAAAGCAAAGTATTTGCATAAGATGAGTTCGCTTAATCCACCATTTGCATTAAAGAAACATATTCATCTATTCATCATATCTAACACAGCAGTGATCTTAATCTCCAAGAAGAGCTCTGGGATCTATGTCCTTCTGAATATCCTCAGCATATACAGCACTTTTTGTTCTGACCTTTACAATGCTACAACACCTACCACAAGACACTAAAATATCCCACAATGAAGACAGGGCACCATCTGATAAGCACAATACTGAATAAATGCTCCGATAAGAGTGCTAAGAACTAAAGCAAAACTACTTTTTGCATTCAATTCTGGAATTCTTCCTCTTTATCACATTCAAACATAAATAAAGCAGAGTTATCATTCTGATTTTACAATTTCCGTCATCCCTGATCAAGTGCCAAATGAAGCCCCACAGCCTTTTTCAAGGAGCAGCACCAGCACTTACAGCAGATGCTCTTAGAGCTACCGAGCAGATGTCCCAGGGCAAGGCAGCAGGCACAGATGGCATCCCTGCCAATATGTACAAACTTGGGGTTGCCATCCAGTCAAAACACTTGTGCATCTGCTTAACATTGTCGGGGAGAAGGTCACAAAACCACAGGAGTTCAAGGATGGAAGCACCATTCACCTTACACATGCTGTAGCAACA